TTACGAGGCCATTGCTTTGTCACTGAACCATGACTGTACGCAGCGGGGGCTAGGATAGGGGCAGATTCCATAAATAAAAATAAATTTAAAAAAAGCAATACATTTTCAATAATTTATTGCATTCTACCCCGGTCCCCAACATAAACAAATCTTCTGTGTGCCCATGCCTTGAGCCATAATGCATGGCAGTCCAGAGGATTTTTTTATGTTGGGGACCGGGGTAAAATGCAATAAATTATTTAAATTTATTGCATTTTCTGTTTTTTATTTTATTTATGGAAACTGCCCCCTATCCTAGCCCCCGCTGCGTACAGTCATGGTTTAGTGACAAAGCAATGGCCTCGTAACTGTGAGGCCCCATGATCAACACCGTGTCGATGTGCTATATCAGTGCCCTTTTGTGGGGCATTAATCCTCATTACTGTCATTTATGACTTAAGGGCATAGGTCCCCTAGTTGATAAGCATATTAGCATATACATACTTCAGCAGTCACGCAAAACACACATTGGCAAATTACTATTCAATAAAATCTGAGAATGTATACTATTATCTAGATCTATTATTTTTAAATTATTTTAAAAATAATTCCATAGATTATAATTTTAAAAAAAATATTCCACCTTTATGAGCGACAGTGTATCTAAAGAGCAAAACACTTGGATAACTGTTTGGTGGTTTTTATTTTCATTGTAAATGTATATAAAATGAAAACAAACATATGAAGAAATTAACTTTTTAAAATACAGTTGGAATGCTTTATTGCAGACACAGAGAAACTTCTCCAGACAACAGAAATTAAAGCTGATTGGTCATCATTTAGTTATAGAAACGTTTGATTGATAACAAAGTGTCATTCGTGGAAAAAGCGTCAAGAATATTTACGCCAATTTATTTGTAGTCCTATCTCGCAACCTCACGTTTAAAAAAAAGGAAAAACAAATATTTCCCCTCTTTTTTATCTGCTTTATTTTTTTATTTTTTTTACCTGAGATAAAGAAGCTCGATCAGCAATCTCTTTGTAGAAATCATCATGAAAGTCACATATGAAAATGTCCAGGTCTGCAAGATGAGACAGGAGACTTAGAAACTTCCCCAGACAGTAGGATGCTGATTGATCATCGCGTAGCTTCAAATGCCAAACTATTAACTTCTGAATCTGTGCATGGAAATACAAAAGAATAACATACGTGAATCAAGAAGCATGACATGGGGGAAATTGGAAATCCTTAATATAGTCTGTACTGTCGATTTAAGCAATCACATATTTTACAGAAGATGATCGGGGGTTTTGGTTTGAGGGCGGGGGGGGGAGGTCAGTAAAGAGATATCTAAAGAGCAAAACACTTGGATAACTGTTTGGTGGTTTGTATTATTTTCTGTGTAAAATGTATATAAAATGAACACAAACATATGAAAAATTAACTTTCAAAAATACAGTTGAAATGCTCTAATCCGAACACAGAGAAACTTCTCCAGACAAGAGAAATAAAATAAAAGCTGATTGGTCATTATTTAGTTATAGAAACGTCTGATTGGTGACAAAGTGTCATTCGTGGAAAAAGCGTCAAGAATATTTACGCCACTGAATTTATTTGTAGTCATATCCCGCAACCTCAGGTTTTTTTAAAAGAAACAAATATTTCCCATCTCTTTTTATCTGCTTTAAAAAAAAAAGATTTTACCTGAGATAAAGAAGCTCGATTAGCAATCTCTTTGTAGAAATCATCATGAAGGGAACATGAGTGAATCTCCAGGTATGTCAGATGAGACAGGAGACTGACAAACTTCCCCAGACAGTAGGATGCTGATTGATCATCGCGTAGTTTCAAAGTGTAGACCTCAAACTTCTGAATCTGTGCATGGAAATACAAAAGTATAACATCGTGAATCAGGAAGTATGACATGGAGAAAAATATAGTATGTACTATCACACTAAGAATTATACGTTTTACTGCTTTTTTGTAATCTTTTTATAATAACTTGTAAATATTGTGATTGTTTTTTTATTGTTAAATAAAACACATAAGGAAAAAAGGGAAGAAAAAAAGAATTAACATTATTACAGAAGATGATCCAGGGTTCTATAGTTGGAGGGGGAGGGGGGGGGGGGGTAGTAAAAAAAAAATCTAAAGAGCAAAATCCTTGGTAACTGTTTGGATGGTTTGTTTTATTTCCTGTGTAAAATGTCTATACATGAACACAAACATATAAAAATCAACTATTAAAAATACAGTTGGAATTCTCTAATCCAGACAAAGAGAAACTTTTCCAGACAAGAGCAAGCTGATAGGTCATCATTTAGTTATATAAACGTCTGATAGGTGGCAAAGTGTCATTCATGGAAAAAACAAGAGTGCAACGCAGGGGGGGGGGGGGGGTAGTAAAAAAAAAATCTAAAGAGCAAAATCCTTGGTAACTGTTTGGATGGTTTGTTTTATTTCCTGAGTAAAATGTCTATACATGAACACAAACATATCAAAATCAACTATTAAGAATACAGTTGGAATTCTCTAATCCAGACAAAGAGAAACTTTTCCTGACAAGAGCAAGCCGATAGGTCATCATTTAGTTAAATAAACGTCTGATAGGTGGCAAAGTGTCATTCATGGAAAAAAACAAGAGTGCAACGCAGGATCACTAACATTCTTCTACCTATTCGTGACTTGGAATATTCTGACCGGCTTAGACATTTGAAATTGCCCACACTTGCATACCGTCGTCACAGAGCGGATATGATACAAAGTATATAGGCCCGAATTCACAAAGGAGGTTTGTCGACAAACCTTGGTTTTCTTGCGTCATATGACGCGTTTTGACGCGTTCGTACAAACCAGCCTTTATGAATTCGGGCCATAGACTATTCCGTGGGATTGACCGCAGGGGCTCCAACCAATCTGAACGCGTTGCCTTAGCTTCAAACTACCGAAAGTTAGAGCCTTCACTTCTATCATGCTTCTATCCGAATGGGATCGTTTACACAGCGATTCGTCAATTTATGGAATGCGCTTCCAGCCTATGTAATTGATAGCCCATCTGTAAACTCATTCAAATCCAAACCGGAAAGCATGGAGAGCTAAGTATGACATGCACAACCCTGAAGAAATGTTTCCTCGCTATTGCATTGTTCGAAGCTCCGACAGACGCAATCCCCAGTACATACAGAAATTAATCCTGCTACAGAGGGGCACATAACTAATTATACTCAACATCAAGGTGAATTAAGGTAAATCAAAAATATTTACGCCAATTTATTCGTAGTCCTAACCCGCAACCTCAGGTTTTATAAAAAGAAACAGATATTTCTCATCTCTTTTCATCTGCTTTTTTTTTAAATGAATTTTACCTGAAATGAAGAAGCTCGATCAGTAATCTCTTTGTAGAAATCATCATGAAGGAAACATGACCAAATCTTCAGGTCTGTAATATGAGGCAGGAGACTGAGAAACTTCCCCAAACAGTAGGATGCTGCTTGATCATGGCGAAGGTTCAATGCGAAAAACTTCTTAATCTGTGCATGGAAATACAAAAAAATAACATACGTGAATCAAGAAGCATGACATTGGGAAACATTTAAAACCCTTAATATTCACATGATTACATAAGATGATCCAGGGTTCTGGTTTGAGGATGAGGAGGGAGGGAGGGAGTCAGTAAAGAGATATCTAAAGAGCAAAACTGTTTGGTTGGTTTGTTAAATTGTCCGTGTAAAATGTATATAATGAACACAAACATTAACAAATTAAATAACAAAATACAACTGGAATGCTCTTATCCGGGCCATATAAATTTATCCAGACAAGGGAAAGCTGATTGGTCATTATTTAGTTTTAGAATCTGTTTCAATGGTAATGATTTAATTTATTCAACTTTCAACGTGTGAATCTGAGGAAATGCAATCGAATACGCTGGCAAGTCATGGAAAAGGATAAATGATAGTGGAAACCCTTCAGTCAGTATTTAGTGGTAATTTGTAGAGCCCCCCCCCCCCCCTAAACAAAAAAAAAAAAACGAAAAAAAAGAAAGAAAAAAAAAGAAGAAGAATAAAAACACAGGCATGACTGAGAATTGTAACGGTAATCCGGGTTGGATTTATAACTCGCACCATATGAACAGCACTAAAGGTTTGTGATTCATGGCAATTTATTACCATTTTTTTGTTTGTTTTGTTTCAACTGAGTGCTACAAAGGTATCGTGTTCAAGGGATGGCATCCATAGGATTATGGCCCTATATCCTATCAGATTCACTTTGTGAAAATTATAATACTAGTCAGCAGAAGGGATTTTCCTTTCCTTTACAAATTTCAGCATGATCGAAAGACCACAAATGAGTGATTGGAGAGCAATGAAGAAAAAATTGTCTACCATTATCCATATAAATCTGGTTCGAATTGAAGGCTCTCCTCTCTCCTCTCTACTAGTGGGGAATTAATTATAGACATATCACCTCTACATACAAAAATTTAAATGTTGACATTCAAGCAAAATAATATATACTCCCGTTAAAGGTATAGACCAGTTTTGGAAACGCCCCCCCCCCCTCTCAAAAAATGAAATGGATGCTCTTATTATCAATCATTTGAAAGAATTTGTTTTGACTAATACGTGATGATACAAATTTTTGCTGGGAAACCGCCTAATAATTGATATATTTGGTAAATTATTATATCTATCCGGACTGGATAGATATCGCGTAGTCCCATATACATCTTTCTGTGTACAGTGCTTGTAACTTTACCAAAAGTGGGCCAACTTTCGCATGACTAGAACTGGTCTATACCGTTAAAGGGCATATAACTATAAAGAGCTCGAGCACAAAGATCGTGGGGAGGAGAGAGAAATTGAATGGAATGGGAGAAGAAAGTACTTTAGCAATAAAAAGGAAACTTGTATTGTCAAGGAAGAGATGGAAGAGAGATAGATAGAGAGAGAGAGAGAGAGAGAGGGAGAATGGGGATGAAAGGGTAAGAAAGCAGCTTCACACATTCACTGACCTTTGAATCCACCTCTCTGCCATCAAGGTCCGGAAAACGTTTGCCACTTGCAATATTTACGCCCATTTTGCGAACTTTTAAACAACGAACACATGTTCGATGGCAAAGTGCATCCACTGTATCTACTGTTAATGGTCCAACGCAGGAATCCCCATCACCAAATTCTATGCTCTCTTGTTCCTGTTGAAAAGAATAGTTGCTGGTTTCTTATTTGAAAAACCCTGAAGGGAATACCATGACATTGCAACGTATGGTGAGCACACAAAACTAGGTATTGGCAATTTGTTTGAAATATTCCCAAAGAAGACCAGGCATTTTGTATGATAACTACTGTAGAAGGCAAAGCTAAAGATGTTAAATAGGATTTATATATCAAACAAGCGAATCATACAGATTAATTCAAACTTCCAATTAATCTGAATTACGACTATGGAACTTTCATCAATATACTTTGACATGTTTCAGAGTAATAGTTCGCCAAATGTATACAGGTGTCTGACGATTCGTATGTTTTAATGTTGTATTTGGGCTCGGCTACTTGATGTTTGATCCATGTACTTGATGTCCTTTCTATCATCTTCTCCCATTTGAAAAAGAGAGAAAATCTCTGTAAATTTCAATTATCCTAGTTGCTGACGAAATAGTTTCTTTTCATACAGACATTGTGTAGAAACATATGTACAATGTGTGATTAATATATTTCTTTAGATAAAAGATAATATTTTTTGTACAGAGTGATTGCGAGTGGACCTCGCAAAAACCGTCATAGCATTGTAAATTGTCAATAACCAATAATTGTATTATTCTCTATCAGATTTTGCGTACACATTCACTGATATGTTTCTCTCAATATCCTGCATTCATCAAAACTGAATATCAGGGTGAACTTCCCTCAGTGGCGGATCCAGGGGGGGGGGGGGACCGGACCGGACCCCCCCTAAACAAAAAAATTAGTCCTCACCCCCCCCCCCCCCCCCCCCACTGAGCGAAATATTGGTCGGCACGATTTTCATATTTCAGCACAATAAATTTCAAATTGATTTCAAATTTGGGCCCCCACCCCTAAGAAATCCTGGATCCGCGACTGACTTCCCTTTATGTATCATAATTTAACACTCTAAAAACGTATTTGGAAGCAACAAAGACGATGTGACAAAAAAATTACCGTGTCATGTCCAAGAGTTATTTTCATCCTTTTCTCAGCAGTTATTTGTTCAGCCAGGGGGTCCAATTCGTCATCCGTAAAACATTTGATGATACTATACAACATAATTATATGTTCAAGAAAATTACTTATTTAAACATTTTGAATCACTGAATGTTTAAAGGAATTGAAGAAGAATAAAGTACCCAGTGATATAACCAAACAGGCTGTATACCAGCTACTGGGGTTTTCTTGTTATAATTTTCATTTAGATTTTCAATTTAGAAAATGTTCGATACGTCTATACTATCAAAACGAATATAGTAGTAGGGTATAATAAAAATCCCACATATTATAAATGTTCTAGGTGGTTATGCAACGATCATAACTTTTTTAATCAACAAGATTAATTTCTTTAGTTAATATTTGCGTGAAGTCCCTTTTTACTTTATCATAACTGACTCTTGCAATAATTATTCTGGAAATAAATTTACAAATTGACAACGTTGTTAGGGCAGAAAACTCTTTCACAAGCTTACACAAGCTTTCAAAAATCTGATTGCTGTCAGAAATTGAAACCATTTGATTGATTTATTGGTATTTTTTCTATAATTTATACATATTGGCCTATCCGTTTCTTTAATTTCACTAAGTTATTTTTATTGTTCATTTATTTATTGATGTATTTATTATTTTGAATCATTGTCATTAGTAGTATCATTACTATTATTAATATTATCATTACAAATATTATCATTAAAAGTATTATTATCATTATTATTTTCATTATCATTGGAAATAATGACAATTTCTGCAACATGGCCCTGATTTTAATACTTACCTCATTGATTTCAAATGCAGGTGGTTCATTAGATTACGTAGTATTGCTTCACTGCGTATGTTGCCCATTACTAGCTCTTGAAAGGTCAGACATGTGAGTTGTGGGAATGAACTAGAGAAAAGTTGCCCCAGTGAAGTAGGTTCTCCAATGAGAGGAACTAGGTTTTCCCCTTTCTTACCACGCTCAATAGACAACACTGCTAGGCTGGAATGTGCCAACCGTTTAACAACTCCTGGTGAGACAGTTTGAAGAGTGTTAAAAGTCAGTTGCTTCACGCTCGGGAATAGGCCCTCAATTGTGACATTAATGTCACCATCATTAAACCTCTGTAGACCATTTAGGAATTGATGATCTACAACCACCTCTTTGATTGAGGATTTATCTCCCTGTGTGCGAAATGGCAATGAAGTAGAGTATTATCAATAAATCTGTTCATATAATATAATAATAATAGTAATGCTGGTGGCTTCTTTTATAGCGCACATGTCCGTCACGCTGTGACGCTTCTGGCGCTGCCCCGATTATTAGCCTGGCTTTAGCATGGCAGCCACTGTGGCGCTCTAGCATTTCAAGGAATTGATTCATGCCAGGTACCAATCTACATCACCTGGGTTGTATTAAAGCTTGTATTAAAAATATGAAAAAGAATGACCGATTAGATTTATTTACAATGCAATACAGACAGAAATTCCCAATGTAATGAAAAGGAAAAAGAATTTCAAATACAACTTTTTCTTGATGAAGCAAATATGTTGTTTTCCTAAAGATAACTTACAGACAAATGAGGGAAACAGGTCATTGAAAGTTTAACAAATTACGATTAAAAATAAGAAACTCATTACATTTGAAGTTGTAATCAATATCAAATATAAATTGGCAACTCTGTGACGTATTTTGCGAGCTCTCTTCCCATTTGTTCTGTACTTTAACAAATCTGAAACTTTTATTTTCCCTCAAGAACATTTTCAAGCATACATACAATCTAAATATAATTATTGCAAACATTTTTCTATTCAACCCGGTATAGAAAAAAAATACTCCGTCATCAATAATGAAGAAAATGAAAGTTTAGGAAATTGAATGTACAGCACTAATTGGAGAGGAGCTCGCAAGATATGTCAGTGTTGCCATTTTGTGTTTGATTTATAGCTCAGTTGGTAGAACAGTGGTCTCGAAATACGGTGATCCTGGTTCGAAACCAAGGCGATGCGCTAGTGTCCTTTGGTAATGCATTAATCCTCATTACCAGGTCCCTAATTTGGAGAGGACCTAAAGCCATGGGTCCTCTAGTTGCTTAATTACTAACAAGCATTTATGCTTTCTTAACAGTCAGGTAAAATAACCACCACTACTACTACAACTTAAATCCGGGTGGACTTCCCCTTTAACAAAGTATATGATCAAATTTGGTATTTTTATTTTTGTATGTTCTATCTTTAAGACTTCTGTTGTCTTGTTTATAATGCAGATGCTTCAATGCAATTTACTCTTCTTTTTTCACACATGCGCCTTGACAATTTAAATTCAGGTGAATTCAGCGCCTTACAAATTTCATATATTATTATTACTATTATTATTAGTAGTAGTACTACTATTAAAGTGAATTCTTAGTTTATTAATTCATCAAAGCCTGGGTGGAAAAATACTTATTGCCCTCCATGAGACAATAAGCAGTTTTTAATTAAAGCGAAAATGTACTTTCATCCTCCGAAAGCATAATATTTTTCCTTCAATAAATGGTGCATGCAAAACAAAGTACTATAAGTACTTAAAACTGTAGAAACATTGTCTCACAGAGGCACACAATCATTTCTGGCCCTACTGTCACAAGAGGGGGCGATTGGTTGTGTTTTTTTCTGTCTCATTCGCATGATAAAATGAAGCAATTAACCATCTTGCTCAGTTGCTATATACTTCCTCACCTAATAGCTGTACGTAAATAAAGATTCTTAAAAAAAGATTTTTAAATTTTAAAGCTGAATTCCAAAAGTACAAAACCAATAATGAAAGTTGTAGATATTCCCTTATCTAGCTAGTGCTCACTCTCTACCAAATAATGTCACCCTTTATCCTGCTATCAGCGGAGACAACAATAATTCCATCTCAGGCCATAATTATAAGTGATGAAGACAGTGTGCATATTATTTTTAATATCTTCTTAAAAGAGGTAAAGAGGTAAACGTGCTTGTTTGTGGTATATGCAGGTAGTCTGCGAAGCTAAGTTTCGGAGCGAAAACAAAATTCACGCTAATTAGCCGCCCCCCCCCCCCCACCCACCCCCCCCCCCCAAAAAAAAAAAAAAAAAAAAAAAAAAAAAAATAATAATAATAAATAAATAAATGAAAACAAAAATGGGGGGGGGGGGGGGGAAATGAAGAACGGAAATAGAAAAATGAAATGGTTCCAGCGCACGACGTCCCAAAGTAACGTTTTTGAACACAACATGGAAGTATTATTTACACTGTAGCATTTCTGAGAAAGACGCATTGTCATCATTAGTATTCTGTTAAAATAATAATATATTTACCGCCATTGTAGAAACTTGTGTATGCATTAACTGGTAGAAGTCATGATCCAATGTTGTACGATAAAACTCTAATCTTGATAATGAATTTGATGCAAGTAGGACATCTGCTAGGTCACGTGAAACAGTCGGGCCACATGATCTGTCTCTGAATACCAAAGTCTCCTAAAATAGACATAAACATGTTATAATTACTATACCATTCTTATAGCTAAAATGATCCTGACATGTTATACAAGTTTAGGTATGTATTTTTTTATTTTGTGTGCAAAAGGGTGACCCCCAAAAAGTGACCTTACCCCCCCCCCCCCCGCTTATTCAGCGGGTGACTTAGGCGTTGCGAAATTTTCGGCACGATTTAAAACAATTATACCCCCCCCCCCTGAAAAAATCCTGCGTACGCCACTGTGTGTGTATATATATATATATATATATATATATATTTATTTATACATTATACATTATGGATTCTTATTTAGCGCACGTATCCACCATGAAAGGTGCTCAAGGCACTCCAATATTACCCCGGCTCTCGCAATTTCGGCGCTCACAGCATTCAAGGAATTCCTTCCTACCGGTATCCATTTAACACGGAAGCACAATCATACATCAATACAGCAGCTTGCAACAAAATACAAGTCAGTGTGTGCCAGGATGGATATACCTGGCTTAACCTGGGCGCTCCCTTTCAAGACCAGGTGTGGGAAAGGGTACAGTGTATGAAATTATGGAAGCAACGGTTACAACAATCAATAACTCATGAAGAAATGCCGCAATATGTCTTTACCTAGATGTACATAATGTACATGTACAAGTAATGTTAAGATGTGTATACTATTCAAGTTTCTTTCAATTGAGCCTACATGTATATACTAAATAACCAGTGGTTATGAGATATGCACATGAAGGCATGAACCAAAATCGATTCATGGACCCCCTTTTCATTCAATCTACAATCTGAATGTCATTCTATTTGTATTTCCTTTGATACACATTCATTAAAGAAATTTATTACAACATTGTATATAAAGTTGTATTGTTGTAATGGAGGTTGTACGCCGGCTACACACTGTTGTAGATACACATATTACTTTTATACGTAATTGTCCTACATTCAATAATATACAACTATTGATTGCTTTGAGGGACATGGTTGCCCAAGGTAATCTCAAAACATTACGGTACCCGAGGCAAGGTCGAGAGAGCTAGCTGCAGTCTCAAGATCACAGAGGAGCTATAGTCTTAAGCGTGAACCGGAAAATAAGCAGTATAGTTGTTTAATACACCGCATCCCGACTGTCAATTCTCAAAAAAAAAAAAAAAAAAATTAAATAGCAAAAGCTGCCTGTCAAAATGTATTTATTTGAAGGAAGATTAAATGAACCGGCATTTTCCATTGTGCTAATTCACTATTGACTCAATGCACACGATTGCATTTAAAAACTATGTATGGTAATTTGTTTTCGCTATACTGCCCAGCAATCATGATTTCCCCTAACCAAGGAGGGTAGACACCCACCTCCCAGACCCTCCCCACGCCCTTGAAAGAGTCCACTTTATATTATGTCTGCCCCCCCCCCCTCCCCCACTAAAATACTAGTTACGGGCCTACTATAACTAACCATTCCGTGCTGTTCCATGATGAATAGGTAACCAGACAACGTGTGAGCAGGCATGTCTTTATCGAATGTCAACATTTTCTCGTCTGCAAATATCTGTAGTCCTACTGCTTTCGCTGTGTCATTGTTATACGCTTCAAAAGTGACATCTACTAGAAATTCATCGTTTCCTCTTCTTTGTAGTACATTTTGGAAGTCCTTTTGTTGTATTTTCTTGACAATGTCAAGTCCCACCTCCTTTCCCAGGGCAGCGGTGAAATACAAGAGATAACGGAATTCTTGTGGGTTGTTGCTCAGTACCTCACCCATCGACCTACTATACTCTTCGCCATTCGTGTCATATAGAGAGGCAAGATAAATAGACGCAATATATTCTTGAAATAATTTGTGAGGAAAGAAAACACTAGCGGTTTTGGGTTGTGAGGTAGTCAAAATGCTTTTCCATTTGGATACATTTCGATTCTCCCGACTTAGAACTCCGATTCTGCAACATGTCTCCATGGCTTCCTTACACAAGCTGAAGTCCTCCTCATTAAAAACCAATTTCCTTTTCAGGAGTCCTGAGAAGGCAATCGATCCTATTATTTGCAAACAAAGCTTGATATTGTCCATTTCCTTGTCCAGATGGGTTTCATGTAACACTTTGGTGACCTTTGAGACATAATGGTCTCTTAATGACGTGATCATTTGTTCAAATAATTGAGAAAATGTCTTTAGTCTGCGTATTGTTTCTCGTTTCTCACTGTCGCAATTTTCCCATAAGATGCATAGCATTGCTACATAAATTGGGAAGGGTGCCATGTTCTCCTTGATTACATCATTCACTTCTATAAACTGACATAGTTCTGATCCCGCGTCTTCATCTTTCACGAAGTACTTGCTGATGTATTTTGAGACATTTTCAGCACTAAATCCTTTTACTGCAATGAAAGCATACGACTTACTCAATACTTTGTTGGATTTGATCTTATGCGCCCTCCACGGTCTTGTTGTCACCAGAACTATGCATTGC